GATTTAAATGCCCGCAATTTTTTATTCATACGGAAACCTTTCAGTAGATTAATGTCATTTGCCAAAAATAGCAGAGATGGAATTTAAGTGAATTATACAATAAAAGTATGAGTGGCAGAAATTTTTTATTCACATGGAGAAATGGAACGAGCGCTCAGGCGCAAAGCCAATATTACGAACACTCAAGTGATTTGCGAGCAATTATGTGAAACTGTAAAATTCCATAAACAGAACATTTTTATATGCAGTTCTAGTAAAGAAAATTTCTACGTGAGAACAGTTGCACCCTTTATGAGTTTTTAAAATTTATACCTAGCGGGGAGAAAAATTCACTTTTAGGATTTCTCGATACAGAGTACGTATATAATTACCATTTCCACAAAAGAAAACAAAAGTGCTGTTTGTTTTGTGCAAAAAATAAAATAAAATAAATAAAAAATAAAAAAAAAAAACCTGAAAGTTTTCAAATTTTAAATAACGCCCAAAGGGGCGTTTTCTTAACGTTTTGTGTGTTACCTTTATTTATTAAATATCACGTTCTTTGCACTTAAACCATGAAATTCAGTTCAACAGCAATGCCGCAAAATAATTTTAAAATAAGCATATCTTTAAAACTTCCGATACACAGTTCCGCGCGCTGGAGATAAAAAGGTTTTTTCTCCCCGCAGAGTGGTCGGTTTTAAATCGTTGGGTTTGTTAATCAAAATTCGTTGAAATATAATATCGATAATAAAACAAATTCCAAAATTTGTTTTATTATCGATATAATATTTATACAAAATATAATATCGATAATAAAACAAATTCTAAATTTCAAATTTGGCTTTCACATGCCCATACTCGCAGCTGGATTACATCATTCAAAATTGGATGGCTATAAGTACCGTTGTTTTATCACAATGCGAGAAACATACATACGTTTAACGCAGATTCTTCATTATTTAATTTCTTCAAATATAACACAGGGCAATAGTATTTGCTGGCAACGATTTGGAAAGTGATACGCCGTGCCAGGGGCGTAGCTAGAGTTTCTAGCGCCCGGGGACAACCGAAGAATTGGCGCCCCTTCCTGTGTGCCAAAAATGGAAAATATTTCATTAAAAAATTTCGTAGCATCAATTTGGCGCCCCTTGGATGCTGCGCCCGGGTACAGATGTCCCCCCTTGCCCCACCCTAGCTACGCCACTGCGCCGTGCATAGGATTCTGACGGAAAATCCCAAAACGAAAACGATAGTCCTTCAGGGACAAAGCCTCTTTGGACTTAAAAAAAAAAAAAAAAAAAAAAAAAAAAAAAAAAAAAAAAATTGTTTTGTTTTGTTATCATGATTATCTATAGTTCATGAAGGTGGAATACTAGAGGTGAAATAAATACTTTGATTCCAAATAAAATTTCTAAAATAATAACAGAAACATTTGCCGCGAAACAGGTAACTGACAGATATTAAATTTCTATCCCGTCTCCAAAAGCAACGTTTCGCAAATATTGCTGACGAAAACAAGATATCCCGCCTCAGATGACGGACTGATGTCATCAGGTGTTCACATGTTACATCCTTCTGTTCTCCGATAGCTTGGCAAAAGGAGGGCGCGGGGAGGTTGATCTGAATCGATCTACCATTAACCCCCCTAACAATGTGCGACGCCTGGCGGATCGCCGTGCGGCCCGGATAACAAGGGCGCTAAAAGCGAGGCACTCCGCGACGGCGCCCCGGCTAACGAGCGGCTTTTTTGGAGAAGGGTGCTTGCAAATCAAAGTCACGTGCAGAAGCTTTTTCTTTCCTTCCGAGTATCTGTTAAAATCGTATGATCCTGCCCTAATATGAAAGGAATATTCTTTTCTATTCTGTTCTTGCCTAGACCAGGGATTTCCAACTTTTTTTTTTTTTTTTTTTTTTTTTGCAGCCATCTTTTTTTAAAAGAATGGTTTTTCTTCACCGACATTTTGCATTTTTCTCGATACCTTACAGCACGCATAATAAAAACAACTAAGAAAATTAAACTAAGAAGAAGAACAAAAGTTTCGAAAAATGTAGTTCATCAGAATTCTGTTTTATCCTTAATTTTAAATTTACAGGTATAAAAATATTTCCAGTCACAAAATCACAGACTCTTAAAGGGCCGTTCCCACTGGAGTTTATCTCAGCTAACGGAGTCAGTTCCATGCGTCGACTAGCTCAACTATGCCTGCAGTTCAGATTTTTCAACTTGCTGCCCTATGGGAAGAAACTAGTTTTGGAGATGGGTCAGCTACGTCAGTTGTCTCCATTAGCTCAAATAAACCAAAGTGGGAACGGCCCTTAACAACTTAAAAGTTCGATTCTAAGTAACGTGATGAACAGATGCAATTTGTTTTTAAACATTTGGCACAAATGTGTTTACCTTAAGTCTTCAAACACATCACTCAGAAATATTCAGCCCGTTTGTTGACTTGACTTAACTAAATTTTACTGACTTCACTAAAACTAAACCAAATTTTACTGACTAGACTAAAGCTAAACTACAGTTTATTGACTTGACTTAGACTAAATTAAATTGATTTGACTAAACCCGCCTCTACTAGGTAAAAAGAGAAAAAAGTAAAAAATGTTGGTTCCGTATCGATTCTTATTTCGGGATGTTTCTTCTGGAAAGATTTTAAATTTCAAAACCCAGCGCACCCATGTGTTTTGAATAAGACTTGCGATTGAAGATCTTCCTTCAGTGCACCCGAATTTTCTTGAGTCATATTATCAAGATCAAAATTAATCGCCCTTCAGTGGTTTCATTTCATTGGCACATTCAAACTGTAGATATCTTGGAAGCAAATACTGAAATCTTCTTCCAAATTTTGCACGTGACTTGTAGATAACAATACATCTGAAGACATAATACAATCCTTTTCAATAAAGGACAGTTGCATTAAGTTATCAAATTAATGGAATTATTTTTGCTTCAGTATCATCGATGTAAAAAATCTGATGTGCACTCCACATGACTTCCTTGTAAGGCCTATTAAAGGATACACATTTTTAATGTATTTCGTTTAAAATTATTTCCTCGAATTTCATTATAGCTATATTTCTCACTCAATTAATTCAGTTCTGACTTCGAAGCAACGCAAAACTCAAGATATTTTTGTTAAAAATTGTAAAACACAGAAAAATATAAAACACTAACAGTCAGAAAAGCAATTTTTGCAATTAAAATTAGTTTTTACGCAAAAACCGGCAATTCGACCAGTGCAGGCAGATTTTTCGGCGCACAAAACTGAAAGTTTACTTTTGGTCCCTCTCGGCAAAAAAAAAAAAAAAAAAAAAAAAAAAAAAAAAAAACACTGAAGGTGCAGAAACTGACTTATTTCACTATTGTAGTTATAGTTTTCAAATCTAAATAAATGGCGGTTTCGTTAGGCTTAGTGGCACTTAAAAAACTTTAACCATAGGCCGAGTGATAAAATCGCTGAACACTGGTAATTCTGACTTGGTTTCGATCCCAGGCGAACGGGCTGGCTGCATGGGCGTTTTCGTGTTTTCCCCATGTGTAACGTATATACGAGCCAGTTTTCCTTAGAACGTCCTCCACGAAGTCATCCCTCCCATCAAGCAGATGGCCTGAGTTTGTTTTGCCATAATTTACTGTATCTAACTACGGAGAATTAGCACAAGGAAATAATTTGAGTAAATTATTACTTTTAAGCTACCTGCTCGAATCAGCACAGGTGCAGGAACAACACAACTGTATTATCGACACCAACATAGGCTTGGAACATGTGTTTTATTTACCTTGTCTATAGTGTGTTAAGCTCATAATCAGCCAAGTGGATAAGTGGTTTTTCTTAAGTGTAATGTGAATATGAACCTGGTGTTGGTGTATTTAATTATGGCAAAGCACACTAGGGCTATCTGCCTAAGGGAAGGGATGCCTTCGTGGAGGACTTTCTAAGGAAAACTGGCTCATATACAGGTGACGGAGGACGGGGACGCCTGGTGTTTAACGGAGGTAAACAGGCATATGTCCTACGCCCTCCCCTATATAGATACAATAACTCCCTGGGGTCCCACAAGGGCGCACCGGGAGTTACTGAGCCTTCATGAAAAAGTTTACATGGCCATACAGGGGCTATTCCAGTTTGACATTGGTTCTGTACAGATTCTTATGTTAATGGTTGACCTGGGTGTTCATAGGCCATAATGCATACATGAAACATGACATTACATACATGATATATGACATGACATTAAACTTATACATAATACTTGCATGAATTAGTACATACATACTTTACACTTCACATGACATTAGACTACACATACATAATGCATGACATTAATCTACACTTATTAGAGTTATAACCTGACTGTATACTACGTTAAGCTAATTGTATTGCGAACTTGCTAAGTTACTTTATAACTGGATTACTTATAGTTTACATTATTGCTATTACTTCTTAAATGACATTATGCTATATAACAAGATAGGCACACATACTTTGCCTTATAATCATATATGCGTTACTTAAAATAATACACATGGGGCACGCGTTACACGCGCTAATGACTACATTACCGATTACGTTATGTTAAAAGTACACATAGTACGACGTATTACACTCATTGATTAAATTACTTACATTACACTATTACTTACATTACTTACATTACACATTTACTTATACACTTACATTACTTACATTACACATTTACTTATACACTTACATATTTACAATTTTAGACATAACACCTGCTAAATTACAATAAAGACATAGAATTATTGCGCTGTGTATGCTATTATTCCTATGTTGGTTGGCAGACATCCTGCCCTAGGGCGCTCAGCTGCTGTATAATTTTACATGTATTTCTTATCGCGGGTGCGTGTTTGATGATGAACCTCTTGTAAGGTACTATATCCGTAGTGGGATATGGTAGGTGATGGCTCGTCGTGAGGCTACAGTTGAACACGTAGTGGTCGGGGGAGCCAATTCCCCCCCCACACACACGCTTCTGTCATGGAGATAGCACGCTTATAAAAGAAGGTGGGAAAAGGGCCATGCCCCGTGATATAGTTTACCTAAAGGGGGTATGGCCTGTAAGCGTTCTTTATCTACTACAGGGTAGAATTCGAAAGTCCTTCTGCCGGTATCTCCATTCTCCCATTCGTGTTGCCATTGTTTATTCCCTATGTCTCTTAGTTGTCTTTTTAAAAATGACGGCGGGATTAGTGCTGAGACAGCCTGTGCATTATTGTTGGTTGCTGCCTCATTGGCCAGTTGATCTGCCATCTCATTGCCTGCGATCCCAGAGTGGCCTCTTACCCATTTTAGCTTGATGTTAGATTGCTGGTTGCTATGCAATGTCTGTTGGATTTGCAGGATTATGGGAGATGTGTGATGATGATTCTTTAATGCCTGCAGCACTGACATGCTGTCTGTGCAGATTTCTGTTCGTGCAAGTTGTATGTCATGTGCGTACTGTATTGCCGCTTCAATTGCTATGGCCTCCGCCTGGAAGATACTATTGTGAGCTGCAAGATGACCTTTCCATTGACTGTGAAGTGTACCATGCTCATAATAAGCATAAGCACAACCCACTCCGTTATCATGTTTGGAGCCATCTGTGTAGAATTGCGAGGCGACTGGTACATCCTCCATTCGCGGCGTAGATCTCTTTGCTATTTTGACGTGTATGCCCGAGTTTTTCTGTGCTGGGTGCACGTGCTGTGTGCACGTGCTGTGTGCTGCCTGGTGTTTCGTACTGCAGCGTGCTGAAGACTGTGGTGCCGAGTGCAGCATTCTCCTTTAATCTTATTACCCGCTCATATATTGCTTCTAACTTGGCCCTGATGTGAAGGGGTGTGAGCCCGGTAAGCACAAGTGCTGCATTTGTCGCGGTTGTTCTATATGCCTTGCTAATGTTGAGAGCAAAAGGTCTTTGTATTGTTGACAGGGCTTTTATTTTACGGCTGCCCATTGGTAGTGCCCAAATAGCTGAGGCATAGAGTACAATCCTTTCTGCAACCGTCAAGTAGAGCAGTTTTTGAATGTAAGGGTTCTGCCCCCAGTTTTGTCCCCGAAACTGCCTGGCTTTCTTTGCAATGTTGGCTGTTCTGACTTTGACTTCTTGTAGATGTGGTAGCCAGGTCAAGCCTTGGTCCCACGTGACTCCAAGGTATTTCAACGTTTTGGTGATTTTCAAGTTTCTGCCCATTAGCTTAATACAAGGTCGTCTCGTGTGGGGTTTGTACCTGGACGCGGTATGACCGTGGCCGTAGATTTCTGGGCTGAGATAACGAGTTTCAGCTTTTGGCACGTGTCATAGAATTTGGAGCAAGTGGCGGAGCCGTTCCTCTCCAGTTCGTCTCGCGTACGGCCAGTAACTAGCAGTGCCGCATCATCGGCATACGCCACTACTTTGGTGTGGTCAGGCCAATTGAGTTGCAGTAGCGCATTGAACGTAATTATCCAAAGCAGGGGCCCCGCGCAAGAGCCTTGTGGGCAGTCCCTCTTCTGCTTCTTTGTATAGACACCACTACTGTTTGTGATTGAGACTTCTTGAGTCCAGATAATCGTTGAAGATGTTATATAGATTCCTGGGGCACTTTGCCTCCCTGAGGGCCTGCTTGATTGCAGACCACCAGAGAGAGTCAAAGGCACTCTGAAGATCTAGTGATATAAATGCCGTGTGCCGGTTATTGGCTCTATTATCGTTAATGTGGCTTCTGATCTTATCTAGGGCGTGTACTGTACTGTAGAGAGGCCAGTTCTGAACCCATATTGGTTATTGCTAAGGAATTTGGTACGGTGAAGGTGGTACTTTAGCCTATTCACCAGAAGTTTCTCGTAAACCTTCCCCAGCGCAGACAATAAACATATCGGTCTGTAGGAGCTGGGGTCTTCTGGTGATTTATTCTTTTTAAGAAAGAATACGACTTGGCCCTTTTTGAAGGCCGATGGAAATATCTGCTGTCTTAGCAATTTATTAAAGAAGGCCTTGAAGTATGTTGGGCAGGCAGTGTATGCGACCCTTATGATTGCATAGTCCAGTCCGTCAAGGCCTGGCGCTTTCTTGAGCGGAAGATATTTGAAGACTTGCTTAATCTCCTCCGTTTCGAAAGGGATATCATCCGGGGTATCTGGGACGACTTGACAGTCTCTTGTTAGTCTTTGTTGTGGCGTGTCATCCTCTGGGTTATCTTCCCTGAAGGCTGCATTCAGATATGTGGTAGCAGTATCTTCTGCTATGTTGCCGGTGGAGGGTGAATTTGTGGTCTCGGCGTACAGATGATCCGGCTTGAAGACTTTGGAGGTTGCTAGTTTGTGCAGTATTCCATATGGATTTGAGTTCTCCGTACAGAACTTCCGCCAGCTGGCGATCTTCGCCTTTAGGAGGTTAATCTTGTACGCTGCTCTTTCCTTTCTGAATGCTGCGAGGACTATAATCTTTGCTTCCTGTCGTAGAGCGTAGACGGCTTCTTAACGCCCTGCACTTCTGCCGTTGTTGGCGCAGTTCTTTCGTCCACCACGCAATACCCTGTAGTCGTTTTGCAGTCCTGGTGGGCAGGTATTGATCACATATGCATCGGATGGTGTCTAGTAGTTGTTCTGTATGGTCATTAAGGTCATTCTGATTATTGCATAAATCCAACGCTTGCTCCTTTTGTTGAAGCGCCTGCGAAAAGGCCCTTGTGAGTGCCTGTATTCTATTCTTTGGTAACTTAAATCTTCTGAGTATGCTAATGCTCGTATCACCTTCTATATTGAAGTAAATATATCGGTGGTCCGAACAACTTTCGTCTTCGGCCACCTGCCAGTCATGGACATTGTTGGCGATGTCCTGGGTAGTGATAGTGATATACGGCCAGCCCTGATGGTAGGTATTATCAAAGGTTGGCTGTGCATGAGGTGCATTGATAATTTGAAGGCCGTTAGAATTCAGGAAATCTTCTAGCAGTTGCCCTTTAGGGGTGGTGGTGGGATACCCCCATATGGTACTATGGGCATTGAAATCACCACCGAGTAAGTGCGGGATTGATGTTGATCAGGCGGTTGCGGCTCAGTCATATTTTGTGCCTCTTCTGATTGTAGCGACGTACCTGCCGTACGACGGGCAGTTGACATCGTAGGCAGGGTGGTTACAAGAGATGCTTCTGCCAGTCCTGTAGTTGTAGTCTGCGCAGTTAATGCAAGCAGTTCGTTGTGCACGGCAGTTTCGCACTTCGTGGTCGTCTGTACAGAACGCGCAGTAGTTTCTATTTTTGCAGTCTTTCTGGACGTGGCCAAATTCCTGACACTTATAACACCGCTTGGTGTTGAAAACTCCGAGATTCTATAGACTCGCCAGCCAATGTAAAGTCTTGGGGTCTGCAGGAGGCGTTTGAAGATAGATGGTTGACACTCAATGACCCACTTGACAGTGTTCTATCTGTCCCGGAGTTTGTAGAGGATTCTGGCTGTCGCTTTGGTGGCATTGAATTCTGATGCTAAAGTACGTTCCAATTCTGTCTCCTGTATATCAACTCAGACTCCGTGTATGGCAATTCTTGATAGGCGTGTGGCCGGAACTTTTGTGTCCACTAACTGTTGGCCTTTATGACTTGTCAGTGAGCTTTGCAGCTTATTAAGATCGTTCTCTGAGTGGCAGTCAACTGCCAGTCCTCCTTTTTGTATGTTTCTTATAGCCGCGACCTTTACTCCTAGCTTTGACAGTGGGAACACCTCGCTGAGTTTAGTTTTGAGTTCCTGGCTCGTAGAGCAAGTGGCCTCCTTCGGATATATTAGTAGCGTGTGACTTGGCGCTGCCACTTGGTGTTGACTTTTTATCTTCGCTGTAACTGCCGCGTAGGTTTTCTGCTGCTGTACGTGCGGTTGCTGCGACTCCTCGTGTATGCTGTTGTCCTGTTGCACTGTGCTCGGACTGCTGCCGTGTGCGAGATCACAACACAGCACTGTTGAAGTGTTTGTACTTGCTTCGGTTGTTGGTGGCTTGAGTATAGGGGTTGGACCCTCAAGGGCTAACTTTCGCAGAGCTTCTAACGCCTGTAGTAAGTCGCCTGTACTAAGATTGGTGGGCAGACAGTACTTACCACCTCTATACGTAAGTACTCCGCTTTTGATATGTTCGTGAACTGTATCCACTTTACTCTCGTAGGTAAGGTCAGAGGTCAGTAACACTGTTAAATTTGTGCAGCTGGGAGTTACGTCCCCGTCAATTGGTAGTACAGCTTGACGTGGCATGATGCATTTAATTGGCCTGTATTCACTGGCGTTGTCTCTCAGGTAGTCTCTGTTGCCACTTAGAGACACTGAGTACGTGATAATATAGCACTTAGTACTGAAATACACTATACACGTAACACACAAAAACACTGGTTCATTCAATTGCACTTATCACTGATGCACTGGATTATGTTACTGATGCACAGCACTAATACGCTTAGCATTAATATGCACTATACATGGGAACACACAGAATATGCTGTTTCACATATGAAGCACAATGCACGGTAGCACGCACCTGTAGAAATATTAAGGCACTATGCACAGAACACAAAAATGGTGGTTCACGGAAACCACTATGCACAGTAGCACTTTAGATGTTAGAAATTCACTTCACTATCGCTTAAAAAAGCCTTTAACATAATTGCACTATTCACTTCAAAACTCAATCACTATGTGCACTTCACAAAGGCAAATTTGCACATTTCGCGACTAATTTTAACTTTCACAATAACGCTTATGCGCTTTTTGCACTTATCACTTGCACTAGCACTCACTATATCACTTATGTACTATTTGCATTTAACATAATTTGTACAATTCACTTAAAGGCTTATTCACTATGCGCAATTCACAAAGGCAGATTGCACACTTCGCGATTCGCGATTAACTTCCACTTCACTATATCACGTAAGCACTTGTTGCACTTCACTGACTGCACTTCATTTGTGCATTATTTGCTCGTACACTTATTGCACTTCTCTTATTAGCACCTCACAATAACATAATACAGACTTAAAATACAAATAATTGTGCTGAACCCTGAATAATGGATATACACTGAGTAGTTGAACCAAACAAGAGCACATTAACACTGAGAAGTATCACCATGAAAAATTATTGCAAATACAGAGTAAGTATACAAAGGAATCCACAGAAATTAAAACATAATGTAAGCATACTATACATTCAATAAAATATAAGCATTCAATAACAACAGAACCTGTGTTCAATAAGAATCGCATCTGTAATTAATCTAATTAATTTACAAATTGGCTCATATACACGTTACACATGGGGAAAACCACGAAAACACCCATGCAACCATCCCGTTTGCGGATTCGAACCTCGAACCGAACTACCAGTGTTCAGCGACCGTTCGGCCGCTGGTGGGCCGAATATGAACCTGTTTCTCTTGGAAAGTCCTCCCCGAAGACACCCCTCCCCTCAGGCAGGTATATTTTGCCATTATCAATTAAGTAACCTATTGACACTGAGGTTGTTGATTCAAAATCGATTCTTTCTCTCGAAGGAAGACATCGTTGCAAAAAAAGAAAATCAATCCCCTCTGAACTTTACTCGTGAACAACACGCCATTTTCTTAAAAACTGAAGCAGGAAAACAGGTAGGGAAAGATTTCACTGAATTCGTTCTAA